TACATACATAATGCTCCTGCATCCTGTTTTCTCCACAACAATTCTATAAGATGGATTGGACTAAGAGAGAGTGACTGGCCCAAAGTCTTCTAGATCAGGGGTCTCCCCAACTTTGGGAACTTTAAGACTTGTGGACTTCAACTCCCAGAATTCTCCAGCCAGTATTGCTGGCTGGAGAATTCTGGGAATTAAAGTCCACAAGTCTTAAAGTTCCCAAAGTTGGGGAGACCCCTGTTCTAAATGGCTTTCATGCCTAAAGGAACACTAGAACTCACTTTAATGACTACATCCAATCGGTTCTTCAGTTTTCTACTTAATATGTTCAGAGAAGTGGTTTTTACCTTGATTTTCATATCTCACTGAATATAGTGAATAAAGAGAATAAAATTCTTGATGTGATAGCAGTTGAGGAATGTATATAGTCATAGCTAACAGTCCTTAGGGGTATGTGAATGTGAATCGGTTTGAAATAATCTGGTCATTGAGCATTGTCTGTAAAATCTGTATATCTTCTGTCTACAGAATAAAATTAAAATACATGATTTTGCTCTTTTAAATCTCTTCAAGCCATTTGCTTTTATTGAATCTTCAAACATTATGGTTACTGCTAAAGAAAAATCCAATCCAAAGAAAGTGGCTTGGGGTGTAAAGTCATAAAATAACTTCTCTCTTGCTTGCATAAACACAAGCAAATCCTGAATTTTTGGAGCTTCGTATGCTGTTTTGAAGAAGACAGGAGGAATGTTATTGAAAATGCAAAGAAGGCTATCATGGCTTCCTTTAATTTCTAAGTGTAAGAGTTGCCTCCCCTTTTTTTTAACTTGTTTTCCCAACTCTGTTACTTCAAACATAATATTTTCTTTCACTTTTCTGTTTGCTGGGAAAGGTTTTATAGTAAGTGAAGACATTACATAAAAGAAAGACCGGAATACAACCTCTGAATCATGTTTACCTAAATAACCAATTCGTGTCTGTCTGTTGTTGAAGGAATTAAAAAAAATGCAATTCTTTTTTTCTTGGTGTTAAGATGTGTTATGGTTACAAAATACGGAATCATAGAACTTGGAGAAAAACCTGTAAGCTTATCCAAATATCTGTTTGCTGCCAAAAATTTAGAATTAGTGTATACTTCAATAGGTGTAGGTATACCTGGTTTCTGCTTGAAAATCTCTAGTGAGGGAGAGAAGTCATCCACCTTATTTTTATTTTATATGTGTATATTTCTTTATACCCTGCTTTTGTTACTTTTATAAATAACTCAAGGTGGCAAACTTACTTAATACCCCTTCATTCTGCTATTTTCCCTACTACAACAGTCCTGTGAGGTGAGCTGGCTAAGAGAGGGTGACTGGCTTAAAGTCATTCAACAGGCATTCATAGCTGGGACAGAACTTGAACTCATGCTTTCTAACCTCGTGTCATTAGACCAAACTGTCCAGTAATGTGCAGGTATAGAAAAACAATACAATTTAACTATTATTATTACACATGCTCTTATCATTACCTCTTCCTAATGACCTTTCTTTAATATAAGCCTATGAAATCTAGTCATACTCTATGGCACCACAGAGACGAAGATTTTCCCCTCATCTGTATAACAGGCCTATAGGAGTATGTTACATGCTACCATCTTCCCTTTCTTTCTACATACAGCATTATAAGATGCTACAAGATGTATAGACTAAGGAAGGTAGAGAAATTCAAGCAAGGCCATACTATGTTGTCAGCTAGGCAATGCCAAGGTCAGAATGGCATTAAAAGAACTAATTCTAGAATCTACAGTGGCCTTCATCAGAAATCAAATATTCTGATAATTTCCAAGTTTCCAGATGAGAAAAGACTGTCTAAACCATAATATGGAGTTTTTTCTCTTCAGATTCCCGCCATTATTGCACGGTTCTATATCAAAGCTCTCTAGAATCGCGTCAGTGTTGCTTTTTCACAGATGTGGGAAATACACTTCCTCAGACATATCCAAGGGCAAGAGTCGACATTTTCTTAGACTTGGTGAAGCTGTGGTATTCCTAAAATTAGTTTATTCATCTTTCTGGATCCTTTCCTCTTATTTGCCTGAAAATATTTTCTCTATTCCTCTATTTTTTTTGCCAGCACAGAGTAAAAAATGTTGAAGCTGTGATTGCTGTCTCCCTTCTCTTTTTTTCCTGCTGTTCTTCCAGAAGGTAATTTGGAGAAAGGAACAAGACAATCTGTTGTCAAGCAATCCCAGTTTTCTGCGGCTTTAAAGATGCTGAAAAGATTTCTATCCCCTTCCATCCTGTCCTTTCAGATACACCGTTTTAACACTAAAATGGCTGAATAGTAGTTGCAAACACAGTCTCTAAAATCAAGCTTTTGTCTGCTTCTTCCCTATTTTAAAATTTTGCTCTCATTGTCCAAAAGTAAAGCCTAAGCACTGTAGGGAGAAAGTATAGGCCAGCTTACACCAGATTACACTGAATTTAGGTCAAAATCAGAAGTTGTCAAGCAGTCAGATCAGAGAAAGGTGAGAATACAGTACAAGAAACTCTAGTGAGCCGTAGGCTGATCATGATAATTTTTCAGGTCTGAGGGTTAACAATGCCAGATAAAAGAATTAATATGGAACTGGCTGCTGTCACAGGATTGACTCCTTTGCCTCTAGTCAAATTATTAAATTAGCAACTTTCTGCATTTGCTTAAAGAAAAAATCATTGGGAAATTGCATTAATTATATCTCTTTTGACACTGTATGTGTGTAACTCAGCAGCCTTTAAACTTTGACAGTGATGATAGGAATGAATAGATGATAGGAATAGCATTTTCGTGCAACAGAAGACAATACATAATCATATAGTAATGGGGGCTTCAAACTATACTGACACTGTTGGAAGGAACTCTGTTAGGATTTAAATATCTAACATGTTTTGGACTCAGTTTGCTGACAGCTTCAGCTCCCAGCTGGAGAAAAGAACAAGGGATCGGCCAAAATTTACTCCTGACCAACTAGGATGAAGTGATTGATAAAGTGGAGTTATAAGCAATATGTTGGGAGAGAGGGAATGTCCATGCCATTTGGGAATTTGTAATATTAATGGTAGATAAATTCCTTGGTTATTTGGAAACCTGATTTTTAGAAGTTCAGGAAAAAAAATCCCAAAAGCATCCATGATTCCAAATTAAATAAAAAAAACCCCAATTTTAAGGACTCAAATACTTGTAGTATAATCAAGAATTAGTACAGGTGGAAAGGGAAAAAACTGGTGTAGCTGTACGAAGGGCTCATTAATAAAAAGACTTTTTAAAAAAACAGATAGAAATATTACTAGAGAGAAAATGGATTATTCAAAACATAATGGTAGGAAAGTTTAGCTGAGCTTGTTTAGGAATGCTAAAAATGGCTTTCTTTGATCACTTTCAGAGCAAGAAGATGATCAAGGAGAGGATAGGTCTCCTACTTAGGGAAAGGAAATGAAAAACAGCGGGATTATTTAAAAGAACCTGAGACAGACGGACACACACACAAACACAAAGACATATGTGGACTTGGGGCTCAAGGCACAGAAGTAATGGCTAGAAAACATCCATCTACCTTAATTAAATAAAAGTCACCTGAGATTCAAATTATACCCAAAGGATTGAGGAAATTAATTTAGATTAATTTAAATAATTTACATTTCCTGATGTTGAATGCTGTTCACTAAGAAAACAGATATTTTCCCTAAATAAGAGGTATTTTATTAAAAGAGAACATGAACATTAGCCCAAACTAATTCAGAACTAAGAGAAAGGGAAAAAAGAAAGAACAAATTAAAAAAAAATAGACGTTTCTAATTTTCTTTGCATCAAATATAGGTAAGATTACAAAGATCTCTTAGTCTAGGATTAAAAGAAAAGCTCACTTTTTCCTAATGATCACAACCACAAATCTTTTTTTTCCTAATCATCATAAGTGCATTTTTTCTGTTTTATGAAGAAGGTCTATATGGGTTCCAGTCAGCCATATTTTTTTTTTTCTCTAGTCAGGGTGAATTTATCTATCTACTCAAGTTCCACCTTCACAAGCCATTTCTCCATTGTGGGTAGTGTCAAACGTTTCCATTTTTCTAGCCAAATCTCTAGTCAATTTTATCGTTCATTTTTCCCTTGTTCTTCTGTCTCATATTTCAACAAAGGTTTATACATTTTGACAGATTGACAGATTTGTTATTATTATAGAATTCTATTTAAAACTTGGTCTTACTTTCTTCCAAACCATAAAATCTTTTATCCACTTTAAACTTTTTTGTTAATTGTACATAAAGAAAACCATTGACAAGAGTATTCTTCTGTTATCAAATCTTCTCTTGATTTCATTTTACAATCCCATTGAGAAAATTCTAATGCTCCATAATAAATTAATTACGTTTGTTTATTATTTTCTGTCCATAAAATGCTTCTTGTGCTAAACGCTACAAAGGTGTTTCAGGAAAATCTAAGTTTATATTTATTCCATATTCTAAGAATGGTCTGCCTGACACATTGATTTTTAAAATCTACATTTATATTAATTTTATTAAACCATAGATAACCATGCCATCTAAATCTCAAAATTGTGAGCTTCAAACTCTAATAGCCGCCTATCTCTTACAATTCCCATTCTTTCATCCAAACCTAACAGCAGGCAGCAAAATATAGTTTCATATCTGATAAGCCCAATCTTCTTTATTTTGCATCTTGTAATATCTTATATTTAACTTGGGATTTTCTCCCTAAATAAGAGGTTTTGTAGTAAATCTGGATGGCAGTGTGTTAGAGATCCTGTTGCATTCTGTGTAGGAAAACTGAAGGATTTTCTGTATTCAAACAAACTTATCAGGTTACTTTAGTTCTTGCAATAAAAGTGTTAGTTTATTTCTTAATTATATTTGCACAATATTTTTGTACACATATAGATCTTTCACATTTTAAATAATTTATACAAAACTGAATGAAAAAATGTGAAACACATCATATTCTTTTTCATTTGGGCGGGGAAGAAAGGTTTGAAAGATTTTTTAAAAAGCAGCACTATATTTTTTTCTAAATTCTCCCCATTGTTTTCCACTTCTTAGACAGGAGGAACCAACAAAAATTAATTTCACATTATATTGTATTACTGGATTAGATTGTTATATATACAGCAAGTATGGTTGTAAAATTTTAAATTTATCACATGCTATGGGATCTGGAAGATCTTTTCTTGTAGTCCCAATCTGTTTTTACTTGGCAGGCTCAACCAGAGATGTCACCAAACTTAAAAAAGGATAAGGTAGAGCTAAAAAAGATACAGAAAAGGATAACAGAAATTATTAAGGCAAATGGGAAAGGCTTATAACAGTCTTCTCCAATCAGTTTACTTTCAGAAATGTGATTTTAGTTTGACATCACTACAATATTGGGGATAATCTTACCTGTAAACTTGGAATAACTATATCTCCAATCCTCCAAAGGGGATTGTCAGTATATATAATGTTGATGGAGTGGAATAGGCCATTGTTGAATGAGGTCTATATTGTTACCACATACCTATTGTATATCCATGTTTATTTTTTCAAACCAACAGAACATTAGAAAGAAATTACGTACAAGGGATAAGAGCTATGTCTGTGTGTCATCAGGATATCTCTCCAAAAATAGAATGGGACCAAATTTGATGTGGGAGCTAGTCAGAACAAAACAGAGTTTGAAAATGGACTCCATTTCACCTGCAAAGAAAAAACAAAACAAAACAAGGGAGACAGAGGGGCAGCAACTTGTGACAGTATTGACTGCCTTGTCCTTCAGGCCCCCCCCCCATCTTCTGGTCACATAACCCATGGTGTTGTTATTAAGCAATTGGAAAGAATTCCAGAAGGCACGCCCTGCATGCTTTCTCTGCCTTCTTATTCTGAGAGTCATTTCAAAGTCTACTATTAATGCCCATATTTCATTCATCTCCTCAGTATTATTGTCAAACCTGTTGCAAGGGGGAGCCTATCCAATTGTTTGGAGCACCAAGTTAAATAGAGGGGCGAATATTGAAAAAGATGAATTTTAAAGAAAAATACAAATACGTTTTGTAGAAAGGAGGTGCTGATTTCATGACATGTCTAGAGTGTCAGTTCCCTTCATCTGTGCATTTCCTAAAATGGAGAATGGATAAAAGATAATAACTTGCAGAAACCTCTCCACTGGCCAAGAAAATCCTTGCTAAAATGTATTAATATGCAACCTGTTGGAAACTTTTTGTTGATCATTAAAAGACCTTTTCTATAAACTCTGTTGAAGTTGCTTTTAAACTTATGCAGTGTGACAATCTCTGTGTCTGTTCTTTTTCTCTGCTTTAAAACAGTTCAGGGAAAACAAGGTTTAATACATTGCACAACACTCACTACAATGCTAGTAAATATGTGGACCCTTTTTTCTTTATTGGTTTAGTTCCTGATATAAAAGATCCCATTGACATCTCCATGCTGTCCATTGACATGGAAAACAAGGAAAATGGATCGCTGGACAAAGAAAAGTAAGTGGTCCTCTTAAATGTTGCATATTGATTGATTGAGCTGATATTTAATTCTTCTGGGTACCAAAAGTAGATAGAGCTGTAGTTTTACCTTGAAAGATTGTTAAAATGTTATTTTGCTAACTTCACAATATAGCCAGTACAAGAGGAGGTTGTTCTGACTTTGAAATTTTTGTTGGACTAGGGATATCATGTCTGAAGCATATATCTGATTTGAAGTATTTTATATCAGCACTGTCTAGACTCACTTGTAGTCCTAATCATTTGATACATATTTAAGTATATGTTCAAAGGCATAGTTTCTCACCTTTGAAGATGTATGGATTTCAATTACCAGAATTCCTCAGCTAGCATGCTGGCTGGGGAATTGGAGGAGTTGAAGTCCCCACATCTTCAAGTTGCCAAAGTTGAGAATCACTGTTCCAAGTGTTTAAAGCAGTGGTTCTCAACCTGTGGGTCGGGACCCCATTTGGGGTCGAACGACTATTTCACGGGGGTCGCCAAACAAGGCTGTCCGCCATTTTTCCCCCCTTTTCTTTGGCCACGCCCCTGGCACCCGGTGATGTATAAGTGGTTGGGGGTCACCACAACATGGGGAACTGTATTATGGGGTCACAGCATTAGAAAGGTTGAGAACCACTGGTTTAAAGAGCCTGTTTACTACTAAGGGGCTTCACGGAGGGTATCAGCAGCAGTTATAAAACAAAAAGGTTAATGGAGTAGTTCATCCTGATTACCCGCCACTTAAGAACATACAAGGCTTGCTGTGAGCCTACCAAGTTCCCTCTAGGTGACTAATAATGACATCACTCAAGTTTCTTTCTCTAAGCCAGGGTGTCAAACTGGCAGCCCGCGGGCCGGATGCGTCACGTGCAGGCCACGCCCACACCGGCTCCGCAAAGGCAAAAAATGTCGCGATACATCTTGTGACGCGATCGAGTTTGACACCCGTGCTCTAAGCTGTTGCCAGTCCTCAAGTAATAACAATCCTCTCACCACTAACTCATACAAAAGGGAAATAAAAGGTAGTTGCTAATACCTGCCCCATCTGTATTTTTAATTCACATTGTATGCATTTGTTTCTTTCTTTGCAAACACAATCAAACAAAACCTAGTGGTGGTTGTAAAGGGGGGGGGATGTCTGATTCCAGAGCTGGCATTCCTCCTGCTGCTAAAGGCCTTTTGGAAGCCGTGAGGATGAAAGGAGAGAATTTTGGCAATTTTGCCATCATTTGCTCTCTTGAATACTTATAACGTGGCTGGATATTACTGCAGAAGCAGAAGAAGAGGCCTTTCCCCATTTGTATCTGTTTTTTTCTGAGATGTTCTCATAATAGAGGAACCTATTATGGTATGAAAGTGGTCATATTCCTTTTAAGCCGAGAAGCATCCAGTGACCATCTTAGTATTTTAAACCTGTTATGAATTCTCGTTAATTTATAAATATAATCAGGTGACTGCTAGTGGGTGGGAGCAAAGTGTGGCCAGTTTCCCTTTATTTGGGTACACTCCTCTCCTCACTGGTCTTGATCTGGCTCATTGGCCACCATTTCGCTGTGGTTTCTCTAAGGTGCCAAATATAGCAGTGCAATCGTAGTGATATGTCAAAATTGTTCAGTAACACAAGGCTACTTAGTCAGCAGTACAGGAAGAGCATACCTGTTCAACAGTGAAATAATGGAATGATAGGATCAACCCCACTTTCACCTTCCATTGCCTGCAGAAAAATGTGCAGAGAAAGCTAGAAGTCAGCATTTGTTGTCTACATAAAGAAAAGGAGCGGGGGGGGGGGGCTAAGAAAAGGTAACTCAGTTTTAAAAAAACTGAGGAGCAGTTTTAAAAAAAAAATCAAATAATGACAACACAAGATATAGGAAAAAGGAGCACAGGAAGTCACCTAGACACGACAACCAGACATATCCCATTCTTGTTTATAGCCCCATGCTTTGCAACTACTGTATGTTTCTGCCAGCTTGTGAGATGCATAAAATAAGAGAAGACAAAACTGGGTGATTCATCCTAACATTTTGCTTATTTGCTGCAAGAATGCATACAGTCAGCACCCCACTAAACGGCAGTGAATCAGAACAGATGCAAATAGAGGCAGGACAGAAACAGGTAACAGGCAGCGGGTGTCATGACAGTAAAGGTTTCTGCTAATTCAAGGATGGCAGAGAGCATTTACTATTGGATTAAAGCAGTGTTTCTCAACCTTGACAATTTTAAGGCATGTGGACTTCAACTCCCAGAATTCCACAGCCAGCAATGCTGGCTGTGGAATTCTGGGAGTTGAAGTCCACATGCCTTAAAATTGTCAAGGTTGAGAAACACTGAATTAAAGGAAAGAAAGACCCAGTACAGGTAGACCTAGAGCAGGGGTAGGCAACCTTGGCTCTTTTATGACTCGTGGACTTCAACTCCCAGAATTCCCGAGCCAGCCATGCTGGCACTTTTGCGACCTTCTTACAAGCCAAGTCAATAGGGAAGCCTGATTCACTTAACAACGGTAGCAAGAAAGGTTGTAAAACAGGACAAAATTCACTTAACAAATGTTTCGCTTTTTGGGCTCAATTGTAGTTGTAAGCCGAGGGCTACCTTGTATTCATTACAAGAACAAAATGATGAAATTCTGATTTGGATGGTGAAAACAGATAAGAGTACTGATCACCCCAGTACCGGAAGGGCAAGAATTCTTATCAATTGAAAGAACATCCACAAGCTCAACAGTGTTGCAAGAAAACATTAGCTATGGTAGAGTGTCATATAAATTGCAGTATATGTGAAAGCAAAAATTCAGTTGTCAAAATTTGTTAAATTAAATAAATATATTTTCACATATCTAAAATAACAAGGAATGAAAATAATTTCATGATTGTCTCAATTGGTGACATGTTTTGAGTACTGTAATAAAAAACCTCCAACCTCTGAACTAGGTAAAAGGGATTTTTTTAAAAAAAAAAAAATAGGTGCATATCCGCCTCCCCCCTCAATATCTTTTTTTCTTCATACCATGTGCATAATATCCAAACAAGCAAGAGAAAAATCCAAGCAGTGCCTGAGGCAGGGAATTGAAACAATCAAGTGGTCTTTCCCCTTGAAAGATACTAGGTGACAGGGTAAACAACATAAATTCAGCTCTTCAACTTTGTCCATTCTGCCCAATATATTTGGTTTATCAAGCAGGTGAAAACTGAATTAAGAGTTCATGGCCTCCTTTAGGTGTATTTTAAACTGCCCGCCAGTAGGTGTCACTGGTGCAACAAAGAAGCACAAGGTGGAAATGTGAGCCTGTATTCAACTGTATGATTCTTGAATGGAACCTCAAATTACATCATGTAATTTGAGGTTCCATTTTCAGGTTACCTCCCATGTATATTCACAATACTGTGTGGAATTAAGATTTAGTTTCTGCTACAGCGATACCATGCTGGTTCATTTTAGATTTTATTTTACAACTAATTAGGGGACAACTAGCATTATTGCACTGTTATTCAAAAACAGAGCTTGTTTAATCTTTACACTTATAATTAAAGTTCTCTATATTTCTAATTTTGTATAGTATTGGCAGAACTAACCCTAATCCTAAAAACTAGTGATTTGGTTGGATTCAAAATCTGGTACATTTTCTCAAAATGTAGATAAATAATTGAATTAAATTAGACCAATCACCAAGTAAATAGACACAACCCAAGGCATACATTTATGTAGAATTTGATTATCTAATTATTATATTATTCTCGAAGGGGAGGACTTTGGATACTCCTAGCATATAGGTTGGGTCAAATCACATTGTACTAAGAAGTTTGGATAAAGTAAAGTAAATTAAGAGTACTATTCCACCAGCACTATACAAAGTCTTTTTATAAAGTTAGTCTATTTAGCTTCATACTTCTAAAATAGCCTGATGTAACCAGATGTTCTCTGGATGTGTAGGACTTCAATAATTCCTACCGTATTATCGCTAACTTCTGGCTATGTTGGCTTCAAAGTGGTAGATACTACATTGGATGAGGTGGTTGTAAGACCATTGAAAGAATTGGGTTTTAGCATCCAAACTTGTGTGAACCAAATTAGCATAGGAATACACTGATATGCTTTTTACCTACAGAATCTGCATGGGTCAGTTTTAGATTAACAGAGAGCTGACATGCAAATGATGCGCAAAGTGCACATCTGGAACTGGGCAATTGCTATTATCATGCATGCTTGTGCTAGCACATTCCTGTCTGAAGACTTATAAGATGTGCTTTGTGGGTTTTCTTTCACTTCCTGTTGCAATAGATATTTAAAAGATGATTGAACACAATAGCAGGGAAAGGGCAAATAGTAAAAGGGGGAGGAAACTGCCCTGGGTATGTGTATAAGCAGATGTGTTTGCTTCTATAGGGATAACAGAATACATAACTGCAGAAGTCAAGTGTAAGTAAGATATGTAGGAGTAAGAAATCCTACATATCACTTTGCTGACAATTGTGAAAACCATTTCCTTTGAAAAATTAATTTTATTAAAAATTATACAGCAATTGCAATAGTAGAAACTAATGCAAACTAAAAGAAAGAAAAAGAGTAGAAAAAGTAAAAAAAAGTGCAAAGATGATTTCTATTTTGCTTGTTCTGCAACTAGCTTCCAACAGATAAGAGTCAATGGAGTATCTGGCAATAAAAACATAAATGTCTCACCTAACAACCAAATGGAAAGTGACATCTTAAGTCTGTCACAGTCACATGATGCTTGGCTTAACAACTGTGTTGCTATGAACTCAGTTGGAATATACTTGATTGTCTGTCACAGAGTCTGCACATCCATCCCTGCTCTGAATCATGCAGACATTGGAAGAAATATCCTGGACTTAAATTGGTGAAGGTCAATCCTCAGTCTCTATTTTGGAGGTAGGAATAGTGCAGTTAGTCCTGCCCAGCTTAATACTAAACATTATTCAGAGCTCTTAGTTTATTAAGTTGTTTCGTCTGCATAAGACTGCATTATTGAGGGAAAGTAATAATAAAAGGGCTTTCTGGCATTTACAATAAAGATAGCGTGTGTGCCTAATGCTATAGACTCCTTATTAGTCCATGCTTTTTTGACAACATCCAAATATTAAGTAGTTATTAGATAATGTGGATAATTAATTTGCTAGCAAGTGGTATGGCATAGTGAAAGAGAAAGCAGATTTGGAATAGGAAGTGCCAGATTCTTAATTCAGATAAGAAGATCACTACATGACTTTGGCAGAGTTATAAACGACAGTGCACCCAAACATTTGGCATTTACTGTTGCTTAATGGACAAAGTTTATCTTTGTTCAGTTCAGGGCAAGGAACTCCTAACATGAAGCCTGTTCTAAGATACAATTTTTCACTTCATGTTTATAGGATTAAAACTGTATGTATTTTCTACCACAATATACATTGTGTGCGTGCACGTACGTGTGTCTGATGGTTTAAGTGCTAGATTTGGAATAAGCCAGGCTCAAAACCTCAGTTAGCCCTCATATTTCTGCCTGGAGATTTTATGCCCTCTCTCTGCCCAACTTGCATGGTAGTTCATTGTGCCTAAAAAGCATCTGGATCTGGAAGGACACTCAAGAAGAAATATCTTTACAAGGCAGTTTTTTGGATGGTGCTACAAGGTAGCAGTAGACCAGTGGTGAAAGTAGGCCATGTGTTACCTCCACACATGTTAACTGGGTAGATAGGAATTTGGTCCAACAGATACCAAACTGACAATGACTGTTTAGGCTTATGAGGAGGTAGGATTCAGAGTGGACTCATAGACATATAGAGGTGGTGGTTTAAAAGGTCTTTATATCAACAAGCAAGATAGGTTCCGGATGGATTTCTTTTTCTTGAGGGAGCAATTGAGTAGCATATGTGCTACTTTGTACATCCATGCCAAAGATTCATTTTTGTTTGAATTTCTTAAAACTCCATAGCTTGGTAGAGAATGGAAGACCTCCTGATCCGGCTGACTGGGCAGTTACAGATGTGGTGAATTATTTCAGAACAGTGGGCTTTGAAGAACAAGCAAATGCTTTTCAAGAACAGGTAAATCTGTTTGCACAAAGCTTTTTACTTTTAATTTCCAGCTTGGGAGATTTCAGAGTAGAGACCATGACAGGCAAATACTTGATATTGCAAAAACCTGGGTTCATATCTCCTCTTAACACCGAGTCACCTTGGATCAGTTGTATTAAGACCAATGTACCCCACAGGTTTGTTATGAGAGTAAAGTGAAAGACACCCCCACGTACACCTGTACGCTTCTTCGAGCTCATAAATGAAAAGTGCAGTAATGCAATAAGTAAATAAAATAAGCACTCAATGAATGCAGTTAGGAGTGAGTTGGTTGGCCCTTTAAAATTGAGCTACATGATAGAAAATGAGCATGGGAATGTCAATCACCTACACAACATTACCAGGACGATGCCTGTACCCTTCCAGTCCCTTGATAGACTTGCTTAGGCTGGCACCAACACATCTCAAATGAATGAAAGGGAGGAGGTGACAGGTTTTTCACAGTGACACCTACATACAAGCAGTCTTTGGCTTATGATTGATCATTTAGTGACAGTTCAAATTTATGACAGATTCCCTAAAGATACTTACACTCAGTTCTAAAATTCCAACAGCCAGTGGGGTGGGGGGTGCAGTCACATGACCAAATTATGGGTGCTTGGCAACCAGCTCACATTTATGGCTGTTTGTAGTATCCCAAGGCCAAGTGACTACAATTTACAGTGTTTTTGCTGAAGAACATTGTTTGCCTCAGTTTTTGGCACAAGCACGCCATAGTGAATAATAATGAATTTGCTTAATGACTGCTGCAAAAAAAAATAATCATGAAATTCAATTGGTCATCATGTTGATGATCTGCTTTATGACTGTAATGACTTAGGACCATAATGTGCAGGCTCCATTATGGTTGTAAGTAAGGACTACCTGTAATTGTCACTAGGTGCTACGACTGTCTAATGAAAAGCTGCTAATCCAGCAGTGTTTATTTATTCCTCAGTACTCGTTATTAACTGAGTGCTCTTTTTAAGTACCCTTCAGATTTTACTGCTAAAGAAACTCAGCAGGGAAAACAGTAGGAGGAGTAATTGGAACTGGCTTTTGAAACAGGATTTTAAAGCCATAGGGAAACTTTATATTTGATGCTATAGGTTGAATTGTCACGTACTTTGTCCATATTTTGGAAAGGATTTCTTTTAACTCCTTGATAGGACTCTGGTTTTGCATAGGATTGCACAATGGTGGCGGCAGAGCCACTAACCGTAAGGAAAATGGTGCTTGTAAGTTCATAAATGGAGAAAACATCAATTTCAGAGATAATGAATATCGAGATAACTTCAAAAGAAACAAAAGTTCTTTTCATCTAGATAAATTGTTGTCCTGTGATACCAACTTTCCAAAGATAAGGAATTGTAGATGTTTCAACCACACCTTCAGGTCTTAGATGTTTCATATGTCCTTCTTTTCCTTTCTTGTCTTGTACACATTATTACAGGAGTCACTTTTCTATCATATCATCTACTGCTGCTGCAGTAACATTTAAAAGACTGGTTTGGCATGACTAGAGTCTATTGCATGAGTCATTCTCCTCCCCAGATATTGGGGGAGGGAGGAGATGCAATGCAGATTAAAAAAGAGAGAGGACTTTGATTGAGTCATCTTAATTTCTTTGAGAACAACAAACATGCACACACACACACACACACACACACACACGAGACAGTGAATCATGGCCTTCATTTTTTGGCTTTGTGATCAGTTCCAGGCATAGGATTCTAATATTTCATAAGCTTCTACAGTGCTAGATTAAAACAAACAATTGAAAATCATGCTTGCTAATGCCTTCACTATCCCCATTTTGTACGTGGGTATCTTACTTTCAGTTCAGTTCAATCCCTGCTTTTTTTGTAGCATGTCATAAAGTTCAGCAGCTGCCATTCCATTTGAAAATTGTCATGAAAGACATTGTTTGTGTAAAGGACAGCTTTTTAAAGCAAGACTTTTATGTTATTTATTACATTTCTAATCCACCTTTCGTACAGGAGCTCAAGGCGATATACATACTGTTCCCACCTCCTGTTTCTTTCTCCACAACGCTCCTGTCAGGTAGATTAGGCAGATAGAGAATGGCTGGCCCAAAGGCAGTGAACATCCATGGCTGAAATTGGACTAGAATCTGGGACTCCTGGCTCATTCAACCCATCTCACCTGGTCAGGCAGGAGCTGCTTGTTGCAGAATTCATTAGTTAAAGAATTATAACAGACGGAGTCTATGGAGCATCTTGTCCCATGAGGTGAGGTTGCCCCCCCCCCGTTTTACTGGGTTTTCAGAAGCATTAAGATTTAGCTCTCTCAACTGGCATGAAGATCCAAAAATAAGACACAACTCGTGCGGGGTGTTGTCTCTTTTTAACTTTTTTAATTTTTATATGTTTTTTTTATGTGGGTTTTATTATTTTTTACTTGTAAATGCCTTCACCACTTTACCATACTGACTCTGAGGATTTTCTTTTGCAAAACAGGTCAGTGAAGTTTCAAATGTGTACTGCCTGGACTTACCGTATATTCCGGCGTATAAGGCGACTGGGCGTATAAGACGACCCCCAACTTTTGAGAAGATTTTCAGGCTTTAGAAAGTCATCTTATACGCCAGAAAATACAGTACAATATTGAATTTCTGTTTATAGATGAGCACAATAGGAGCTCCTTTGCTGCTAGAAAGCTTTGTCCTTTCAGTGCTTATTTCTGTAAAAAAAATAGGGCTGGCCACTAGGGGGCAGATTGGTTTTAAATTCAGAGAACAGCTACCGGTATATTCCTGTGTATAAGACGACCCCTGACTTTTGAGAAGATTTTCAAGCTCTAGAAAGTCGTCTTATACACCGGAAAATATGGTACGTTATTGGGGTTGAGCATATCTGGAGTACCTCTCTTGCAGTAATTAAATCACTCATGTCTTCTGTGATTGACAAAAAAAATTCCATTTTTAATAAAGTGTTTCTTCTTATATTGGAATTCTTTTGAAAATTATAATATCCATTTTTTATTTTTTTTAAAAAAAGATTAAATTAAATTAAATTAAATTTCAACTGACATAATTTAGGGCATATTATTCAGAGAACTGAAGAAGTTCTTGGATGAGAAGCAAAATGTTTTCAAGGAAAAAAACCAAGAAAGTCCAGTTGCCTTTTGTAAAAGCACCTTTGGGACAGCCATGACTTGGATGATTGAGAATCTCCATAGACATGAGATCATAGAGTTCTTGCAATAAGTTTGGCTATTAGAATTACATAAAATGTGGAGGCCATTACGTACCTTTAGGGTGACAGGGCTGATGTGGGTAGGCACTGTGATCTGCTGTCCACTAAACTGGTTAAAGTAAATATCTCTGAGGACAAATATTCACATTCCACTAGAAACAGGCTTGGAAAGCGTGACACTCATCTTGCTAAAACGGCACTTGAAAGAGGTTATCTAGGAAATGGGATCAAGAGATATAAATTGTTTTTGTGCTTAATTATTTTGTTTTCTTTAGACGTCATTTAATTTTTAAATACACAGACAGATAAAATTATTCATTTAAATATAAAGAGAAAATCAGCAAACAGAAAGGTTTTTACACAACATGGAAATATAAGTCAATAAAAAAACAGGCAAAAACTATTTATACCTGAAATATTCCTTTCAGTTAATATCTGTGCCCCATTCAATCCATATTTTCATGCCAATGTAAAAAAGAGACTGTGGAGATGAAATTTCAAATTTTGATTAAGATGATCTGTAGATGTACCATTCACTAAAATGACCAAGTCAGTTGCCAGAATGCTGTACCTCTGCTTGATATCTACGGCTTTGTAGGTTTTGGTAATAAGCTGGGCTGAATTTGTGAAATAATATGGATCTTTCCATATCTTGTATTTGATTTCCCTTTAAGATAAACTGAAGCCACCCCAGAGCCAATGGGGCTGCGGTATGCAAATGAACAAAATCTAACCGTTATTTAGCTTATCTAGGGATGATGTCACAATCTTTTACAGGGAACCGTTTGAATAATTTTGAAATCAACAGTTTCCTTCTTTTTAGCTGATTGGTTATTACCCCAGCTAAGGTTACTAAAAGCCCTGACATGATACTACATGTAGAAATATCATATATTTAACAGTATTATGGGTCAGGGGTTTCTGAGGGTGTGTTTCTTTTGTTTGCTTTCAAATGTATTTTACACTTCAACTGTGAGACTGATAGAGTTCCAAAAAGGCCACTAGACCTTGTCTGTTTACTTGCCTCAGACCTGCCTGTTGTTATCAATATTTGAAGAAGATGGTAAATTATTATGAGGTTTTAGGAGTATCAAGAACTGCATCTGCCGATGATATTAAAAAGGCCTACCGTCAGTTGGCCTTAAAAGTACATCCTGATAAGAACCCAGGAAACCAAGAAGCGGCTGAAAAGAAATTTGTAGAAATCTCTAAAGCCTATGAAGTCTTATCTGATACTAAAAAACGAGACGACTACGACCGATGCAGCAAAAAGAAGTTAAATGAAAAAAAACCTGCAAGAAGACAAGGTAGAGCTGGCAATGTGCAGAGAAGTGGCCATGGGGATAAAGGGTGTGGGAGAAGGCAGGTGGACCCTGAATTCAGCTTCTTCGGACCACACCTGAACATACAGATGGGTATGGATTCCTTTTCTCAAGATATATTTGACAATCTGTTTGAAGATTTTTCTGGGCTTCAGCTAAATCCCCGCAGAAGTAGAAGCAAAACTGACAGGAGCTTTTCGGTCTCTATCACGGGCATCTCCCCAATTGCAGGAACTGGTTTCACTTCCTTTGGATCTAATATCCCAGGGGGCTCCTCCTCCATCACATCTCTAAACAGGGGCAAAAATGGCAAATTCCGCTCCATCATCACAACCAGCAAAATTGTGGATGGCAAAAAAATCATTACAAAGAGAACGATAGTGAATGGCAAAGAAAGTGTTGAAAAAGAAGAAGAGCCCATCGGTCACTGAAATGTTTTCAGCCTATTCCAGGTAAGGACAGCTGCTGTGCTGCAAATTATTTTAAAACATATCCTATATTTTGCATGTGGGTAAATTGACATACATTCTTCCCAGGATCTGGGGCACCGGCTTATTGTGGCGGACATATTCACTAACCCTTAAGATCTTTGCTGGTCACCCTTTAGAACAGTCTTTTTCAAACTTGATGACTTTTAAGATGTCTGGATTATATGAAATGTTGTGACTGATCAATCAATCTACTTTTATTTTATTTCGGCCCGAGACCAGGATAAGGATGGTGGAGTATAGAAACTTTTAAAGGAAAAAAAATACAGTAATAAAATTAAAATACTAAAAGCTAGAAAATACAAAAGCAAAATCTAAAAAAAAAAAATCTAAAAAGTATAAAAATAAAAACAACAAATAATCTATTATAAAGTGTGAAAGCTAATTAAAGTGGTTGAGTACTAGGTAGCATAAAAGAGATTTAGAGTGGCTGGAGATTAAGAAACAGAGATTAAGGAGAGAGTGGAACTGAGAATGCCAACCTTATCCTGGGCTGTGTTGGTGTCAGGGCTCCTTGGAGGCAGTGAGACAGCATGAAAGAATTTGGGGCAGATGAAAAAAAAAGTAGAGATGGGCTAGTTTGACTTTAGTACTGTCCAAACAATATTAGAGGCAGCTCTGTCTTAACCTTGTAGCTGCTGATGATGGGTGTTTTGGCTAGAGCAAATTATATTTTCTAGGGGTTGGGGGAAAAAAATAAAGGCATTGGACTGGATTGATTTCAGCCATTCTATGCAGAATTGGGCATAGCTGAAGATTATCAGCAGCAAACATTGAGAGTCAGTCGTTTGTTGACCAAGCCCCAATATAGCTGTGGCTGGCTGTATCTGCCAAAGCATACACCATTGTTTTAATTGCCATGAAGAGCCCAGGATTGGAGAGACTCATGTTCCTGCTTTCCAGAGTACTAATCTATGCCTGGAAAACAACTAGCTGCAAGGGCTACATCATGAGGATAACTTTACTAGAGAAATGACACTGTGTTCGGAAGGCTAGAATAATATGCTGAAGATATAGGACAAGAAAAGATGAATTAAAAAAACTAGAAGAGGGAAGGGTATGATAAGGCTATAGAGGGAATGAATCAAACTCTTCCCATTTAGACCTTGGTGAGAGTGGGGACAGACAGGAGAATAAGTAGTACAGGTAGCTCTTAGTTATCATCTAATTCAGTGACTGGAGTTACAGTGATGCTGAACAAGAAGATTAATGACCAGTCCTCAAAGTTGTGACCATTGCAGAATTCCTGCAGTCATATGATTACAATTCATTCACGTTGCACAATTACAGCAGTGGCTGCATCCCATATTCACATGATCGCCATTTGCAACGTTCACTGCTGACTTCTGAGAAGCAAAGTAAGTGGGAAAGCTGGCAAAAGATGGCAAGTGGCAATGTGTGTGCGGTATGATGTCATGCTTAATAGCCACACAGGATTCATTTAACAATTGCAGCAGAACTGCCAAAACTGCCATTGTAAGTGAGCAGAGTCACGTGACATCCCACTGTGACCATTTTAGCAACGGAGTTCCTGATCCCAATTACCATGTTAGCTGTGGACTTCCTGTAGAAAGGGGTACTTCTATTGACCTAGTCATCCACAGAATGGTTAGGTGGTGAGGTATTGATGGTAAATTGGAGACGATGGTGGCTGGAGGAACAGGGTGGAACTCAGTCCCAGCATACAGAATGGCTGTGAGTTTGAAGGACTGCTGATTTCAGTGAAATTGCATTGTTAATTCTGAATATGGTTTATAACCCTGCGTGCAGTTGGCCTGCAATTTGGGGGTGCTTCTGGACCATTAACTTCTGTTCACATGATAAGATCCAGTTGGTCAAAGCCACAGCAGCCTGAGCTTGAGCTATAGCCTCAAGAGGGGCTTTAGGTCCAGAAGCACCCCCAAATTGCAGGCCAACTGCACCCAGGGTTATAAACACAGTGGTCAAAGCCACTGTGTGTCCCATAATAAGAGATTGCCACTTCCAAGGACCACATTAAGCATGCCTTTTCAGTTGCCATTTTGCTCTGGAATACCATTCCTTCTGATGTGAATCAACCCTTCCTTCTAGTATTTAGGTAACTGAGAAAACTTTCCACCAAACCAGAATGACTGGTATATCGTAATAGCCTCTCCATTTTGAGATTGGGTTTCCTTTTATTCTTGTTAATGTTGTTATTCACAATATTTATTCACAATAAAAACATTAACAATAATAAAAAGAAATATTTCTAATTACTGTTTTTCAAACTAATCAGTTTTAATCCCTGATGTGTATTAGGAAGTTGTATGCCACTCAGAGCTAGTAGTAAGGGAATGGCTTATAAGCCCTATGTATAAAATTTAATAAACAGACTTTATAGTGAAAAATATTTGAATTAAACAATGTTTTATATATATATATATATATATATATATATATATATATATATATATATATATATATATATATATATATATTGGATAGCAATGTGGAATGTCCAAGAAATGAGCCAAGGTAAATTGGATATCCAGTGGGAGATGACCAGGTTGAAAATCGACCTCACTGGCATCACTGAGCTGCGCTGGATAAACAACAGATATTTCCATTCTGAGGAATTCATTATCTATAATTTATAAATGGAATGGAATTTATCACAAGCAAGAAACTTGCCTAAGCATTGGAAAGCTTCTTGATGATTAATTATTGTATTATGACCATCCAAATCTATGCCACTTACATCTCAATTGTCCAAGTTATGCCCCAGCAACTGATGCAATGGAGTTTGAAACAGAGCTTCTATGACAGCATAGAAAAAGTGTTAAAGCAAGTGCCCCAAAAATACATTATTTGCACACTAGAATCTCAGTGCAGATGTTGGGAGCCAAGCAGAAACAGGCATCATTGGGAGCTTTGGATTTGGGAGAGGAATGATATAGGTGATAATTTGGTTCAATTTGTGCCATAAAAATTGATTTTGAATCGTGAATGCCTGGTTCAGATGGCACAGGCGTTGCTTTTACATTTGGAGATTACCAAATATACTGCACCATAATCAGATCAACTATATTCTGTGCATCCATCAAAGGTCCAGTTCAGTTCTTGCTGTCAAGAACACATCTGGGTACCAGTTGCAGTTTAGATCATGAATTGTTGGTGGCTAAGAACAGAGTGAAATTATGAAACATCAAAAAGAACATACAAGCAAAGAGTTTGGACATCACCAAAATCCCTATGCAACCCAAGTAAAAAATAAGTTTAAACTGCTGAACATCTGCTGAGAAGATGAACCATGACAGGAAATTCAATTGACCATCATTGAAACAGTTTGAATACATATCGTACAAGAAGCTAGAGAAAAAGCACAAATGGCTCTCAGAATAGCTGAGCAAAGAAAAGCAACCAAAGCATCAGGCAAATGGGAGGAAGCAAGAAGACTGAATAGGAATTTCCAAAGAGCTGCAAGTTTACTGGGATCAGCATTACAAACAGTAAGAAGGGGTGTGGGGTCTTTGATGCTCTTAGCCTGCAGGTTTTCTTGCAGATGTTTCATTACCAAACTAAGTAACATGTAAGAAAGGACTGCATGAAGAGCCATACCAGGATTCCATTTGTGCAAATCAAAAAGATGCAAATACCATTTACTGCTCATAAAAGCATCATCAAAAACAAACAAAGGAAAGAACTGTCTGACCAACAAGGTGTCAAGAACAGATAGCAAGAACACACAGAAAAACTGAAATACAGTGACAAAGAGGCCCAGCCTCCTCAGGATGATGAGGAAAGGGGAACAAAGTAGAACCAGTAATTCTTCAGGAAGAAGTTGTACGAGCAGTGACTAGAGTCCCAGGTGTTGATACCATTCCCACAGAATTGCTGAGGCTT